AGTTCGAAAATAAAAAATCTCGAAAACGCGTATCGAGTAAATATGAGATCTGAAAATTTTGAATGAATCAATCCCGAATGAAATTGCAAATCAAAAATATCGAATGAATGAATATCGATCATATTCGAACCTTGAAAGTCAAATTTCGCATAAATATTCGAATGATTCATCGAATAGCTGAAGCAACCATATATTAGGTTGTTACATAAGTCTTGTTACACTTAATTTCTTACGACGATAAATCGTAGACTTATTAATCTCAATAGGGCTCCAGGGTACGATTCGATAGAGCAAAGCAAGCTCTACAAGATAGTATGCAAAAATTCGCACCAGCTCCGACCCACCGTAAATTTGCATCCGGAATGTGAGTCGGAAGGCTCAAAAAATTAGGAAAAATTCATATCTTCGTTCAAAAAAACCTACGAAACCCCAACTTGTTTATGAAAATTGCTTTCTATATAAGAAACTCATACGTACCGTTTCTGTATTTTTTCTCACCTGGAAATTGAAAAAACGAAAATTTTCGCGGAGCTATGGTGTTTCTATTCGTGTAGCTGTATACTACAAGCCCTTATAAGTATAACCGTGAATTTTCAACTTTCTGCAAGCTCTGGTTTTCGAAAAATAAAGCATTGAATACCCGAATAAGAAAAGCTAAATTTGGTATTTTTCGAAAACCAGAGCTTGCAGGAAGCGGAAAATTTATGGTTATACTTATAAGGGCTTGTAGTATACAGCTACACGAATAGAAACACCATAGCTCCATTTTGTGAAAACAAGAAAATTTTCGTTTTTTCAATTTCTAGGTAAGAAAAAATACAGCAATGGTACGTATGAGTTTCTGGTATAGTAAGCGATTTTCATAAACAAGTTGGAGTTTCGTAGGATTTTATACGAACGAGGATATGAAGTTTTCCTATTTTTTTTGAGCCTTCAGTGCGACTCACATTCCGAATGCAAACTTACGGTTGGTCGGAGCTGGTGCGATTTGCATACTATCTTGTAGAGCTTGCTTTGCTCCATCGAATGGTACCCTGAAGCCCTACTGAAATTATAAAGTTTGCGATTTATCGTCTTAAGAAATTAAGTGTAACAAAACTTATGTAACAAGCTAATATCAAACTTCTGACATACCCAACTAAAGCCGATTTATTCAAAATCAGCACCCTCACATATCCTACACCAATTCCCAGCTCCGCAGCTCAAGATTTCCAAAAATCAATAAAATCGATAAAGCAAATTTTTATTCATTACCAGCACCCTCACTTACCCCCTCCCCCTGACCAACTCCCAGCCTTATAGCTCAAGATTCTCCAAAAATCGATAACTCGATTAAGTAGATTTTTGGTCAGCCGCCATTTACCTCTGTGTACCAACTCCCAGCCCCTAGATCAAAAATTAATCAGCACCGTTTGATCTTTTTACTACATACAATCGCAATGTTCTTTACTCAAAACCGTCATTCGCGAAAAATCTCTGCAAATAAATTGGAGGCAATTGTGCAATGCAGCTGGCTTATAAAAGAACAAATCTTACTAGTGTGGATCCTTGCGGTTCAAAACCATGAGCAAGTCAAAGAAAGAGAAACAGGCCTGTTAATAAATTTCCTTCCAGTATCTAAACCCTCGTTTTTTGGATTATTCGAGTTTTCGAATTTTATTTGGAATCCAGGTTTTGACTTACGAGTTTTATTACACGAAAATGGAAAAGTCAATATCGAATTTCGAATGGGAATATATTCGGACGTTTTATTCGAATGATCGAATTTTTATTCGATTCGGACCTTACAAGGGAGGTCGAATCAGTCGAAGTGGCCTTTCCAAATGGGTCATATACCATTTTGAAGAGCGTTGAACGCTGATTCCGAATCTGCCTTCATTATCTGCCGAGCGCTTCTGGACGTCGAGTTATAAAATTTTTTTGGAGCGAAAAATGAACTCAGAATTCAAGTAAAATTAACTATTACGGACTTTTCAGCGCCTAAATAGAGCAACATGTAGTATGAGTGTTTTGGACAGAAGGTATCCTTTGTAATGGAGTGCTCTGATAACCATCGGACCATTTGAGCAATTCTGACGAATTTTGCTCTAATTACGCATTAAATTTTTCAACCAAAGGAACGCTCATAACTCGGCGTCCAGAGGCGCTCGGCAGATAAGGAAGACAGATTCGGAATCAGCGTTGCATGCTCTATAAAATAGTATGCATTTCATATGGAAACGCCACTTCGACCAAGTATCCTTCCCTTGTTAGTATAGTTTATACCATTGGAAGGTAACTAGAGAATTTTCTGATAGCCGAAAAAATGCATTGCATCGTACTCCGTACCCTTCCACAGTTATCAAAGCATTTTTAAAAGTTGCAGAAAATTCTGAATTCTGTTTAAGTTGGACAGGAAGAAAACGATGGATTTGAAGTTCGGTCGTTATCTTGAGTGACTACAGTACCATATTCTGACCAGAAGCATGGGTTACTCCAATGAAAAATCGAACAATAAAACTTTTGCTTATTTGTTATACAGGGTGTCCCAAAAGTAAGTACACACTTTTCAATCCTTGATATCTCTCTTCCCATTGTGTCTTTTTCCGCCGTTTAAGTACCATTCTGTAGAGAAGGCTTTACTTTAGTTTTGGAGTGCCGAGCAAATCACCGATTTTTCTTCGTTACTGTAGGATTACTGTAGGAACTTCGACAAGGATTTTAGGCCATTGGAAGGCGTATTTTGTTTCGGAACAAAACCAAACAAGCCAAAATCTTTTATACTATGATAATGGAAGCCGCTGATTTCGAGTATGGAATTTTCACTTAACTGTAATGCTTCTTAGCAAAGTTATCCCAGGTAGATTGTAATAAGTGAATTCCCGGTATTTCTCAAAAATGTGATTAAACCGTCAAAAAAGCTGGAAACACTCGTAAAAAGTTGTTTAGTGGAATCAGCGGGCGCGAAAACCCTAGTACACGATTTTTCAGATTTTTTGAAAAAATTTTGTCAGATGGCATATTTCACAGTGGTTCCCCATGGTGGAAGTTCTTACCGTAATCCTACAGTAATAAAGAGCGATCGGTGAAACGCTTAATACTGTAAATTTAAGTTGAAGCCTCCTCCACAGAATGGTACTTGAAATACGGAAAAAGACCCATTGGGAAGAGAGATATCGACGATTGAAAAGTGTGTACTTACTTTTGGGACACCCTGTATATGTTTTATGATAGGCCGAAGAGAAAGCACAAAGTTGAAGTGACATAATATTAGGTTGTCGGATAATTTATGTACTTTTATTCAATATCTCATGAATCTAAGAAACTTTCAAAAATTGCTATGTTCGAAGAGTGTTGACTGGGTGCAAAGGTCTATCCATCGTTACCGTCAGGTCTTTGCCAAAAACGTCCACTTTACCGGTGGGAGCATGTTTTATGGACATTCTTGTCAACGGGTTAATATTCTTCTAGGTGATCAAAGAGAGAGCTGACGACATGGTGCGAAGTGTGATCCATAATTTTTAGCGAATATAGAGGGATAGCATAGTCATGTCCACGGTCACATGATCTACATGTGTGCCATGTCAGCCACATTTACATTTTAACATGAAGAACAGTTTTTGAAAATTTACAGAAGTTGTTCTCGACCTTTCATCAAATCTTAGGCCGTGCGCACAAAAAGAAATTTCCGACGAATTGATTTTCTGATATATTTTTCACCCCTCGTTTTTGACATCTTGCGGCAACAAAGCGCAGCTATGAAAGAGAAGTGGGAAAATTTGTTCAAAAAAATCTTATGTTTTTTCTCTCCTATACTCAATTAGACGCAGGGAAAAAATCAAAGAAAAGACAATGAGTGTGCATACAAAGTTGTCGTAAACTTGCTGGCTATTTGTGCATTTGTGGCATCCGTCATACTGTTGTGTACGCCCTGTCGTGTCCTACGTAACATATTTGAAGATTCTAGAGATCTTGAGAGTGTAACAGATCTTCCAAAATTTTTCCGAGTTCTGCAAAGAAAGTGTAAAAGAAATTATCCGACAATCTAATACATACTTACGTTTATCGTCTTTATAAATTTTTACGCTTTTTTGGAATGTTGAAAAGGCACGCAGGACGTGATGAAGAAGATTGCAGGTATACCAATTAAATAGATATTTCTGCATCTAATTTCGCTATTTTGGTAATGGAAAGAGGAAGCTGTTTGAAAATGGGAAGCCAAGAAAGGGATAAAGGGAGGAGGGAGTGTTACCATAATAAACAGACAGAAACCTCATACCTTATGATCACCGCTCCCACTACAATGATAATAACCAAAACAAATAACTCTGCTTAGAGCAACTTAAATACGATGCTTCCCGCACATCTCTAACTCAGGCAATCGCAAATGACTTCTGGGGAAATTGGACTTCTAAAACTTTCAGTGCGGACGCCCCTATTGGGCCCTAGACCCCGCCCTACCTGGCCCCGCCTACTTAGCGTTTCACTAGGAGTGTTCCCCGGGAGTTCTAGAACTTCAGTTTCCCCAGGAAGTCGTTTGCGATTAAATGAGAGCGTAAGGCCTCAGGCAAAACGCTTGTTTCTTCTCGCAATTAACATCTTTATCTCGTGGAAAACTGCAAGAGAATATTCTAGAAATCCCTCAAATTAGATCCTTGTGAACAATACACCTTTGGTGGGTCGTCCTTTTATCCCAATTAAGCAGGTAATGAAATATCGGAATGCGAGGCAAGCTTTGATTATTAAATAGAGTACAAGCTTCTTTGTTATGATGATGTCGAAGACGAAGGTAAAGAGATGGAATTTTTGAGAAGTGCGAAATTCTAGGGAATGTAAGTGACACATCACCCTTTGTGCGAAGGCTATTCAACAACAGTTCCTAAAAAGGACGACGTGACGCGTGTTATTTCAAACGAGTCATTGCTTGATTCTTATCAAATAGTGCTACATCAAAATTGAAGATCTTTAGATCAAGTAGATCGTGAAATGTATAAACAAAGTTGGTGTATATGTTTTTTCAGCTCAAACTAACGACAAATAATAGTATTGATGGATCACATAGTCGAAAGGAAAAGAACTCGTCGAGTTTTAGTATAGAAGTAAGTTAGTAAATTTAAATAGCGTTCTTAATCCAGTCTAAAGGCATTGTTTTAGTTGGAAGAACGTTATGGAAAATACGTACACATGATAGTCTAACGGTCATGTATACTTTCTACCGGTTTCAACACGCTCATCCATGTTATGGATACCGCATAGAAACTGCTCCTCGTATGTCATTGAGTTACCAAGATAGTACTGACCGTACAACTCATATATTTCACTTGGTCTTTATTGAAGCATCGCGTGCTATGGCAGACGGATGGTAGACGATATTCCTCCAACTTTTGTCCCATTAAATGCAACGTTCGAGTCAATTGACCCCTTAGCGAATGCTACAGGAATACTTGGAAGCGACAAGATCCAGGTTTGTCACCTTAAGATAGTTGCATTAGGCATTCATCATAAAGCTATAGGGCATTATTGATATAAAACAGAACTATACTTCATTTTTTTTTTGATTCGCAAGTAATCTTTGGCTTTGGCCATACTTTGCCCGTGTTGCCGTTGTTACCAGTGTTACCGGTGTTGCCGAAGTTTCCAGTGTTACTCGTGTTACTCGTGTTGCCGATGTTTCCAGTGTTACTCGTGTTACCACCTTTATTGCTGTTGATTCTCGAAATGATCGCCAGTACAGTTTCATTCTTGAACGCAGTCTCACTGAGTGGTGAGTATACAGGACATGAGGCGATCATACTGCAATAATAATATCATGCTAGGAACCTGCTTCAAAAAAGTTCTTTTTCTTTTTTCTTTTAGTTTTTCTTAGTTTCAGTTTCAAAAGTTTTTCTTTTCAAAGAAGGGAATGTGCTCCCTTCTCGGTCGCGAAAATGATGACACGTCCGAGGACAAGGTTTCTTGAAGTTCGATCAAGGCGTCCAAAACGTTAGCCAGTACTTTAGAGCTCATTGTGCTACAAATCAAACAATATGATTATATTTATGTCATAAAAACTTTTTGAAGCAAGTGTTCTAGCATGGTATTATTATTGCAGTATGATCGCCTCAGGTCCTGTATACTCACCACTCAGTGAGACTGCGTTCAAGAATGAAACTGTACTGGCGATCATTTCGAGAATCAACAGCAATAAAGGTGGTAACACGAGTAACACTGGAAACATCGGCAACCCGAGTAACACGAGTAACGCTGGAAACATCGGCAACACCGGCAACACGGGCAAAGTATGGCCAAAGCCTTTCATTGTTCAATTTGAACACGATGGACAATAACATGTTGCCATACTATTTTCAGTTGCTTCTCAGGAGGAGTGACAAAATCTTGTTTGATTTTTTTTTCTGTCCGTACATTTAAGCGGCAACAAGTACTAAGTTATTAAATACGATCTTGAATTTTCCTTTTGAGTCATGCTCTAAAACTTCTTGTAGGCATAGGCTAATCTACTGCATGTTCAACTGATACGTATTTACTTGACCATGGTCAAAGATACAAAAAACATGGAACAATTCTTCTCTTCTTCTCCGCAGTTAAAGTTGTGGTCATGTTTTACGTGTTTTGGACGCACTCACTGAACTCACTAAATCACTGCTTGCTCTGAATTAAGTCCTAGAGCCAATAAAAAAGTATATCCAATTTCCGTTTCGATCCTTTCACTATACGGAAAATAAACTGAGATACAGCAATCCGGTCATCCAGTTGCAAGTGTATGGCAGAACCTTGTGAGTTGATGAACCAAAATCTGTGTATCCAGAGTACGATTACGATGTGGTGCAGATATGTATGGCATTGCCAAACCACGTAGCGTGAGATATGCCCAAGGCCTAACGACAAAGCGCAACATATTCAATGACAGCGACTATAAGCCTACTTTAAAGGTTTTTAGGCTTCTTGATTTCTTTTACAGGCGAAACACGGCCCTCAGTCAAACCCACTCTAAAATTTCTTCGCAGTAGTGCGATAATAAAGATTGATCGATGATTTAGTCCATAATTCAAAACTGATAATTTGAAGCTAGCCTTACAGAGTTATACCTACGATCGGCAAGAGATTGTAGAGGAGAGTTGTCAACGATCGAACAATGTATCGAGTCACCCTCCTGTGTGTGGTTGCGAAGTTGATCAATAAGCTTCGTATTTACCTAGCATCGTGAAAACATGCTTATATACGAGAGGCACAGTTAGCCCGCGCGAAATCTCAAACCAAGACTTTGGGCAATCTCTTGCTCGTAACCTCTGTCAGGGCCCGGCATGAGCATGGCGAACACCAGTGAAAGAATTTTGCCTCTGCCAGCCATTTTTACAATTTTTACTTGATGGCGCGGAGCATGGTGGTTCATTTAGAGCGCGCTTAAGGCCGAAATCCTTGTAATTTGGATCCGGAAATGGGAGAGGAAGAATAACCGAAATGTCACTATGTAGTAAAGTCACTATGTAGTAAAGTTCAGGTGCTAGAGTCATCAGTAAGGACAAATATCTTTACTAGCAAGCGCTTTCGAAAATTTACCACTGCAACTTTGATACTATCTGATGGGTAGAGGACACTACGTCGCCAAAAGAGGCGGACCCAAACGGATGTTTCAACAAACCGCGCCTTCGAGACTGGCTCATGCTATCCGTCCGCGTGAGTGCCTAATGACGACCTAATGTCTTCTACCCCGACCTGGATCTTGTAGATGGGAAATATTATTTCACATTTAGGTTGGTAGAAAGGATATAAGTCATTTTGTGATACCAAATGTGACTTTTGGACTCGCCTTAGATATGCAGACTACAGAACTGGACGTAAGCATTTTTTTGTTTTGCTTTGAATTTTGAAGCCATATATCTGCAGGGTGTACAATCTGGAGTACTTGGCCTTGGATTGAATAATGTAGGAACAAACAGCGAACCTTTCATCAGGAGCATCTTCGACCAAGGTTATCTCAGAGTTGGATAAGGTTATAACGCACAGAAAGTAATGCAGTTTTTGCTCCGTTCCACGAAAGGGGTAAACATGCTTTACGCTCAGTGCTAGCGAGCAAATGATTATTACATTAGAATTGTTTGCAAGCCTCCAACGCAGTACAAAATCCGTAAGGAGCTGATTTAAGCTCCAAAAAGGGGGTAGAGAACTATAGGTCGCCGAAAACGGGCGTCCCCCACGGTCATTTGCAACAAATGCGCACCCTTGCACGTGCACGGTGCGTGCGTTTTTGCAAAAAGTCCGCGTAGGACCCTTCTACTTCGGCGAGATGTAGTCAGTCCTCTGACCAAAAAAGGGCATATGCATCCTCATCATTAGCGACTCTTAAGCGCAAGCTCGGATTTACTATCAGAAACGATCGTTTATATTATGAAAATAACAACAGATGTAGATGTGTTTGCATCAACATGCTTGCTGCAGCAATACCAAATAAGAGCATGTATAGCCGCAACATAAAGTAGTTGTATGTGTCATTTGAAACCTCCGCTAATCATTCAATCAATTTTAGGTATTATTGGAAGCGAATTATTTAGTATATGGTGCAATCCTAAACCTGATTGGGGAAGTTCTATAACGTACGGGTTGGACCCCAATGATGATAGGTGTGAACCACTTCCACGCGATGTCCGTCCATTTTTTGGCTCTTCGTATGTTTTCGAAGTGAGTACTTGAAATCTAGTGTAAATTTGTGATGAGGCACCAGGAAAGCTACACTGCCGATCTACTTCTTAGCCACGAAACTGGTCATGTATACATTTATACTTATCTTCGAGGTCAATTAGTTAGTTCTTTAATGATAGAATTCTTCTATAACTTAATTCGCTTTGTTCTAAAATTTACTATATTGGCTAGGTTCAGAGGTCCCGCTCAAAAAATATATTCTGTAAACTACACTGCACTACAAAGTGTACTAGAAATTGACCTCTTTTTGGAAAAGGTTCAAATACATCTAGATGCAGAACAGAGTATGAAAATAACAAATCCATTTTCGATCTTCACAAGACCAAATGTGATAGATTTGTTTCTCACACACCTTATCTAAAAAGGTAAATGTTTATTTGTACGCATGTGTCTGTATGTCTGTATGTATGTATGTTTCGAATACAAAATTTCATTCTAAACCGATATGGAGGGAGTATTCTACCCTACAAATACAACAACCTTTTCAAAAAATACTCATTATTTTTTATAGATTTCATTGAATTTTTGCAAACTTTACGCTACGGGGCTGGCAGCTGACATAGGGGGAGGGGGGAGGGGAGGAGCGGAACTGATTGAGTATGGTAATCAGGACCCGGCACGCGTTGGTTTCGAGCATTTTTGGAAACGAAATCCCCTATGAATTTGCGAAAATTAACGGAGTTCCTTCTCACGTAAGGAAGGCTGTAGGGAAACCCTTGTTCAATCAACATAGCAAAATATACGATAAAAAAGTGACAAAAGCGAGTTTTGAGGCACCTAATATAACGAAAAGCAAAAAAATATTTTGAGTCGATATACTATAAGTCTTAAGTATGGTACCATTTTAGTGTTCGGAACATTGAAAACCTCTTAGGTCAACCAAACCTGTGACCTCAACAATCCAGCGATGCATTTTTCGCCACACAGTTCAAAGGAGACCGCATGTGATTGGAGCGCGATATCTATCATTGCTTTGGTTTGCACTATTGGCTCAAAAAGAGGAGAAGCAGTGGTTTTATTCGCTCTCTTCGCTGTATGATAGATTTTGGAGAGTGTTCTTCATCCATATCAAAAAGGTCCAAAACTTATGTGAACTCTCCGATATTTATGCTCCGAACCAACCCAGTTGGTTTGGTCTTGGTCTGAAACCAACAAATTCGGGAACGGGTATTAGGACACATAATTTTTTGAAACTTTTCGTCATGTGTTGTTTGGAGCAATATTGTATATACATAGCCCAAATTCGGCGTTGTGTTCATTCGGCATGTGATTGTTTGTGCGCTGTAAACAAGCCATTTGTTCGTTTGGGTCTTACGTTTAAAATTGCGCGCTTGCCAAAGAACACGTTCAACCCGTAAAACCCAACATGTTTGTCGTTTTTATTCGTTGCTTTGCCCAGGACCTTATAAAAACGATATCCCCGTTGCTTATAACTTCAAAAACGAAGTCCAGTTTGACCTCGAACCATCTGTGCCGGGCCCTGATGGTAACTGCGGGTATGATAACCGTTTTTGAAAATATCGATTCTATTGCTGTTTTGGCGAACTTTAAGCGGTATATGTTGAAAGGCACGCCCTTTATTGCCAGCCAGCCGGATACAGATATGACCGTTGCAAAAGTAATGCGCCTTTCTCAAATAAACACCAAATCTCGTGAAACAGAGACTTCTAAGAGGTCTTGGCATCGATGCAGTAGTTCGTTCTCTTTCTGGTTTCAAACTCATTGTGTGGCACTGTCGATGAACTCTCGTAAATTTATCAAGTTTTGCGAATAGCGGGTGTTGGCGAATCGCTGATATCTGCGCTGCCTTCAGCTGCTCGTGGCTGCTGCGCTGGGTACGCTTTCGGTGCAAGAAGGAAGTAGCTTTGATCAAGTTTTGTTATTCCTAAATCTCCATGCTGAATCCCCGAAGAAGTCTAGAGAGCGAATAGATAGGGCAAACCCAATCTATCAGGTTGTCCCATAAGTTTTTTCATATTCGAACTTTCAAACTAACATTTCTCAAAAAATAAGGCATCTACAAGGTTGCAAATTTGTGGAAGTATTCTTGAGTGAACAAGCTATATAATCACATATTTACGAGGAGGTAGACCCATTACAGGCAAAGTTTGAAAATTGAGCGCATTATTTTTTTCTCAACTTCTAGTCGCCAGAAAAATGCGCCAAATGTATATATAAGTAGCTGATGGGGAGATTATATGCGTGAGTGAGTGGGAACTTTGCAGAACGTTTTTAAGCTGAGATACGATTATTTTCGTTTTTTCGGAATTTTGGATTTTTTTCCATTTTGTCTTGAAACTCGACGCGGATCAAGCCTGTCACGAAATTTTGGGAGCCATATTGTAGAGCTTGCTGGTTTTTCGAATGGTGCCCCGCTTCCTATTGGAAATTCAAGAAGGGCAGAATTATGCTGGTGAGAAGTCAGATATGAAAAGACTTATGGGACAACCTAATATATTAGGTCGTTTCAAAAGTAATTTCGCTTTTTTCAAACGGGCGCCACATTTGATGGAACAAAGGTTTCTAAGAGATCTTGGAAGCATTCGATGCAGAATTTTATTCTCTTTCTAATGGTTATGAAATTGTTGCAAAACAATCATTGAGCTTTCGGAAAATATCCAAAATCTGCGACTCATGCTTTTTGAGGTGGTCAAGTTTCACAATTTTTTAAAACTTTCATATCGATCCTCAGAAGGAGCTCAAGTAACGATTCGATAGAGCAAACCTTATAATAAAGTACTACTTTTTTCTCCTTTCCATAGCTTGTCATACCTTTTTAACAGAATTTCAACTGATGCTACCGATTTCCATACTTGGACAGCTAAATCCTCGTAGAACATCAACAGAAGAGCAGCTCGCACACTATTCGATGCAGCATTTTCTCCTCTTTCTAACGGGTGTTTTTTGTTTCCGATTCGTTTAGTTTCCGGGGAAAAATCATCATAACTCATTTTTTTAGCGAGCCCCAGGCTATACCCGAAAAACTCGAAATTTGATATTTCGAATCCGTAAACCTTCAATTGCTTCGTAAAATTAACGCTAACTATAGTACCATCTTGGTAGTCTCAAATTCCGAAAAATTATGATGTTTGATGCGATTGTGGCTGAGGTGGGCCTGCCAAAATCCGATGGTTCTGTTAAAGAATCTTTTAAAAAATTACGGCGAGCTACGAGAAAGAAAAAAAAGTCGAACTGTATTCTATGAGGTGTACTCTATCGAATCGTTACTTGAACTTCTTCTGAGGATGGATATGAAAGTTTCGAGAAATCGTGAAACTTGACCATCTCAAAAAGCATGGGTCGCAGATTTTGGTTATTTTCTGAAAGTTCATTGAACGTTTTGCAACAAATTCATAACCGTTAGAAAGACAATGAAATTCTGCATCGAATGCTTCCATGATCTCTTAGAAACCCTTAATCCATCAAATGTGGTGCCTGTTTGAAAAAGCGAAATTACTTTTGAAACGACCTAATATTAGGTCGTTCCGAAAGTTCTTGCGCACCATTTTCAAAAAATCATAACTTCCGATTTTTCCGACCGTTTATATAGATTTCATTTTTGTATGAAGAGTAAGTCATGGTCTTTGTAGCGACATCTTAGCTGCTTACTAATGAACATTTCTTGCATAGATAGGAGCGGTAGAAGAAAATCAGTCAAAACTTTAATTTTCTGTGTAGGTATAAAAAATCGGAAACTTGCAACAAAAATCGGAACAGTTGGTATTGTAGGTTCTTTTACCAGCTCTTTCTAACAGTGCAAAGTTTGCGCCGATTGAGCGTTTTTATGAAAAGTTACGATTTCCCTAAAAATGCCAAAATAAATCAAATTCTCCCTTTTGTATTGCTTGCTCGAAAATCATATTTTTGATAAGACGCTCAATCGGCGCAAACTTTGCACTGTTGGGAAGAGCTAGCGAAAAAACCTACAATACCGATTGCTCCGATTTTTGTTGCAAGTCCCATTTTTTATGACCCTACACGAAAAATTCAAATTTTGAGTGATTTTGGTTTCAAGCTTCTATCTCCTTCATTTGTACACATTAACGAACGGTTCAAGTACATTTGCAAAGAGCATGAGTTCTTCTCTCAAGCAAAATTTTGTTCGTACAAATTTATTGAGAATTTAAAGAGTTATGAATTTTTGGAAATCGTGCGCAAGAACTTTCGGAGCGACCTAATATATATTAGGTTGGCACGAAAGTTCTTGCGTAATTCAAACAAAATTCAATAACTTTTCAAAGACTAAACCTAAATTCACAATCTTGTATGATAAAAATATTAGAAGTCTTACG